GAAGGGATGTGATTTGTGTAAAATGGGGGGAGAAAGGCATTTTTTATTTTGAATATTTGTCTTTTAAAAAAATATATTTTAATGTTTTATTTTATTGTTCCCCCTCCCTGCACCATCCGTTTTTCATCCCAAATTGCATTACCTTAAGCTGGTACAGGCCAAAGGGGGTGACGAAGGCGGACTTGGGCAAAGCATCCGCTGCCAGCGGGATCTGCCAATATCCCTTGCATAGGTCAATGGTGGTTATGTATCGGCCTTGAGACATTCTTTCGAGCAACTCATCTATGCGGTACATTGGTTAGGCATCGGAGACCGTCTTGTCGTTGAGCCTCCTGTTGTCCACGCAGAACCTGGTAGTCCTGTCTTTCTTCGGGACTATGAATACTGGGGAGGCCCAAGGTCTCGTGGACGGTTTGATGACCCCTAGCTGGAGCATCACCTGACTCTCGTTTATTATGCTCCCCCACACAGCCTCCTGCACCCAGTATGGGGTCTTTCGTAGAGGCTGTTGGTCGGGTGTCTCCACTCTATGGGTGGCTAGGGGGGGTATACCCTGGCAGGTTGGAGAAGGTCGTTTGCTTGGCGAACATCTGTTTTGCCATAATCTTCCGGGGCTGGCACACAAATGGTGACGATATCCTCTGTCCGCTCGTGATAGGGCTTAAGCATGTTCACATGCAACAGGCGTCACACTCCGGTAGCAGAGCATGGGCCGATCACATAGGTAGTGTCCTCTTTCTGTTCCACTACCCAGTATGGGTCCTGCCAGGCAGCCTGTAGCCTGTCATGTCGGATGGGTTTCAGCACCAAAACCTTCTGTCCGACCTGAAAGCTACGGCTCCTGGAACCCCGATCATACCATGCACTGGTGCCTCTGGGCCGTCTGGAGCTTCCCTCGTACCAGATAGGTGAGTTCCTCCGGCTGGTCCCTAAAACTCCTGCACAAATGGAACGATGTGGGTTCCTTCCTCTTCCCAGTGCTCTGGCACTAGATCTAAGGTTCCCCTCACTCTCCGCCCAAACATTAGTTTGAACGGGGATAGAACCCAGTCGATTCCTGCAGCACCTCCCAATAAGCGAACAGGAGATGGGTCAGGAATTTCTCCCAATCCTTGTGAGTCGTCGCAAAGGTACGGAGCATTTGCTTCACCTTACCGTTGAATCGCTCACACAGGCCATTTGTCTGGGGATGATAAGGGGAGCTCAGGATTGGTTTAATGCCACACAACTTCCACAATTGGTGGGTCATTTAGGCACCAAACTGGGTGCCCTGGCCCGAGAAAATCTCCCAAGGAAACCCCATCCGGGAGAACACTCTCATCAGGGCATCAGCCACAGTCTCTGCCCGAATATTGCTCAGGGCGACTGCCTCGAGTTGTGTAGTTCACGATGGTCAGAATGTACTTCTTCCCTAATGGACTAGGCTTGGCTAGGGGACCTATGATATTGACAGCTACTTTGCTGAACAATTCTTTGATAATGGGTAGGGGATAGAGGGGGGCCCTGTGCCGGTCCCCCCACTTCCCCACTCTCTGGAAGACATTGCAGGTCTGGCAGTACTGCTGCAGATCCTTGGAGATTTTCCTGGGAGATGCCTGCCCAGAAGAAGCTTTGGATGAGCCGAGATGCTGTCCGGCTCCTGTCCAAATGCCCTGCCAAGGGGCTATCGTGAGCTAGCTTCAGCAGCTCATACCGATACTTCTTGTGCGCCACCTGCTGCTTGGTGTTAGAAGGGGGTGTAGCTGGTTCCTTGGTTACATGTGATTTAATTGTAACTTCATATACTTTGACAGAGTATATCCACGGAAGAGTCTCCCTAGTCCTCCATTCAGTTTAACAGTAAGCCCGCCCAGATGCCTCTATGTCTGTGAGATAAGTGAGCACTCGAGGAACAATACAAAACCACCAAACACCCCAAAATGCATAAAAGTTTGATGGGAACCACCACAAGTATTATATCCCCGGTTTTGAGCGCCCAAGTTGTGCATATATCGCTCAAATCCATGTAATATAGCTGCATCGCCACCAAGGAAAGGAGATGGTGGCCAATCCACTGTGTGGTGTTCCTGTATCAACATAAACTAAGTCTCCCTCTGGCTCATACATAGTGAGTGGTACTCTTGTGCGGGAGGGTCTTTTCTCCGAAACTCTCGTTGCTTGTCTGGGAACTGACCAGGCAACGGTATGATTTTTCCCGGTGTTCGTGAGGCATAGTGTCATTTTACATTTTGCCAAGTGAATAAAAGTAAGTGTGTATACGCAGTTTTTAGATTATAATGGGAATTGAAGCATACAAATATTTTCTCATTTTTAAGGTATTACTTAATCGCCATAATGTTTCATTGTCATATTTCTGATGTTTCACGTAAATCATGTCAGTTTTTCTAAGTATGGTAAACGATAAATCATTTATAGACAGATTTTCTGTAACTCCCAGTACATTTAGTTTCAGATATTTCCAGCAGCAGAAGTTTTTTCTAAAGGACAGGACACCAACAGAAATATACTAAGCAAGATTATGAAGAAATCTTTTAATAAAAGGACCAAGGATTCTAACTCTCCAACCTCAAGCAATCTCTCGTATATGTCTACAAAGGAAATAGTAAACATGAACACAAAACCTTTATCATGTTCTGTATGCGGAAAATGTTTTCGCTGGCAGTCAGAAATTGTAATACATCAGAGAACTCACACAGGAGAGAAACCGTTTGTATGTTCTGAATGTGGGAAATGTTTTAGCTGTAACTCGGCTCTAGTTGTACACCAGAGAACTCACACAGGTGAGAAACCTTTCTCGTGTTCTGAATGTGGAAAATGTTTCAGCAATAGCTCAGCTTTAGTTGCACACCAGAGAATTCACACAGGAGAGAAACCTTTCTCATGTTCTGAATGTGGTAAATGTTTTAGCGATCGCTCAGTTCTAGTTCAACACCAGAGAACTCACACAGGAGAGAAACCTTTCTCATGTTCTGAATGTGGAAAATGTTTTAACAGGCATTCAACTCTAGTAGCACACCAGAGAACTCACACAGGAGAGAAACCTTTCTCATGTGCTGAATGTGAGAAATGTTTTAGCCAGTACTCTCAGCTTGTTAAACATCAATTATCTCACACTGGAGAGAAATCTCTCTCATGTGTAGAATGTGGGAAATGTTTTAGCTGTAACTCAGCTCTAGTTGTACACCAGAGAACTCACACAGGAGAGAAACCTTTCTCATGTGCTGAATGTGGGAAATGTTTTAGCTGTAACTCAACTCTAGTTGTACACCAGAAAACTCACACAGGAGAGAAACCTTTCTCATGTGCTGAATGTGGGAAATGTTTCAGCAGTAACTCAGCTCTAGTTGTACACCAGAGAACTCACACAGGAGAGAAACCTTTCTCATGTGCTGAATGTGGGAAATGTTTAAGCAGTAACTCTACTCTAGTTGTACACCAGAGAACTCACACAGGAGAGAAACCTTTCTCATGTGCTGAATGCGGGAAATGTTTCAACAACACCTCAGCTCTAGTCGTACACCAGAGAACTCACACAGGAGAGAAACCTTTCTCATGTGCTGAATGTGAGAAACGTTTTAGCCGTAACTCTTCTCTAGTTGTACACCAGAGAACTCACACAGGAGAGAAACCTTTCTCATGTGCTGAATGTGAGAAATGTTTTAGCCAGTACTCTCAGCTTGTTAAACATCAATTATCTCACACCGGAGAGAAACATCTCTCATGTTTTGAATGTGGGAAATGTTTTAGCTGTAATTCAGCTCTAGTTGTACACCAGAGAACTCACACAGGAGAGAAACCTTTCTCATGTGCTGAATGTGGGAAATGTTTTAGCTGTAACTCAACTCTCGTTGTACACCAGAGAACTCACACAGGAGAGAAACCTTTCTCATGTGCTGAATGTGGGAAATGTTTCAGCAATAGCTCAGCTCTAGTTGTACACCAGAGAACTCACACAGGAGAGAAACCTTTCTCATGTGCTGAATGTGGGAAACGTTTTAGCAGTAACTCTACTCTAGTTGTACACCAGAGAACTCACACAGGAGAGAAACCTTTCTCATGTGTTGAATGTGGGAAATGTTTCAACAAAAGCTCAGCTCTAGTTGTACACCAGAGAACTCAACACAGGAGAGAAACCTTTCTCATGTGCTGAATGTGAGAAATGTTTTAGCTTTAACTCTTCTCTAGTTGTACACTAGATAACTCACACAGGAGAGAAACCTTTCTCATGTGCTGAATGTGAGAAATGTTTTAGCCAGTACGCTCAGCTTGTTAAACATCAATAATCTCACACAGGAGAGAAACATCTCTCATGTACAGAATGGAGAAATAGTTTTGTCAGTAAACCAGAGTTTGTTAAGCATCAGATAACTCACACGGTAGAGATTTTATAATGTGTTTATGAATTAACATCAGAATTAAACAACTAATATTGTGAATTGCTTTAATGCTGACACAAGAAAAAATACCTGTGATAGTAGCAATGTATAAATGATGCATTGGTATTGCGATTGTGTTAACTCTACAGAGCCCCTCTTTACTTTCCTCCCCTTTGATATTAATGTTAAATTTGAAAATGTGCCTTCCATGCACAACTTTTGTTTTCTTTAATGTTTGTTTATGTTTGGTTAGTGTGAGAGTTATTGCACATATTGAATCTGAATGTTAAAAATATTTTGCCCGTAAAGGAGAGCTTGTTATACATCAACTAATTCACACAGGAGAGAAACCTTTCTCTTTTTCTGAATGTGGGAAATGTTTTAGTCTGCATGTACACCTTGTTAGTCATCAGAGAACTCCCACAAGAGAGAAATTGTGTGATGTTTTGATTGTTCCAAATGTCATAGTCAACTCTAGTAATATATGAGGCATCTATGTATTAATTTGGGAATAAAATATATTTTTATATATATTTTATAATATATTTTACTGTGAATGTGAGACATTCTAAAGTCGTAATTCAAAGTTTGGTTATGTTTCAGCACCTCGGGTTATAGCAAAGCCTTTCTCATGCTAACAGTATAAATAATAACTGTAACAGTAGCAATGTACAAATGATGCATTGGTATTGTGATAACTTGCAAGCATCCCCTGTTAACTGATGAAAATGTGCAAATTGACATACTGCTGAAATGTAATTTAGTGCAACTATATCTATCTATATATGCACTTTAATGTGTTTTACAGAACTACTTGTAATATATATTTGATATAGTATTAGAATTGCTTATTCCCTATTTCTCTGTAAATTTGTATATTAAATGATTTCCCCCCACATGTTGAAGGGCAATTCACTAAATTAATAGTATTGCGTGGTACTTCTTTTGGGAACTGTGTGTCCTATTTCACTTGTTCAGGGATTCCAGTAGCAGTCTTTAAACCTGCTTCCTGGCTGCACTATTTCCTGGTTACATGGATTGCATGATGTTAGGCTGAAAATCACCTCAGGGTCTGGAAACCCTTACTCTGCCATTGCCTTACGCAATAACGAAGAAAATGTTTCTACTTTCCATTTAACTCTCCAGCTGCTGGGTATACTTAAAGAATCACACCACACAGATATTGTATCAATAAGCATTTAAAGATTTTAATGCAGTACATCGTATATATAAAACATTGAGTATCACCTAAAACGTTACCATTATTTCATTCAAAGCTACATTTTCTTATCAATTTTAATTAAATATTTAGCAAGTGACATCATAATCCAGTTCAGTGAAGGCACACATTGCAAATGAAGTGGAGATATATAAACAGTTTCACTTCTCCTCTGTCTGCTCTCTCTATGCTGACTGCCAGGTGTAAAGGGCGGAGCTTATAACAATGATTGACAGGAAGCTAAGATGGAGGCGGCTCTCTATACTGACTGCCAGGTGTAAAGGGCGGAGCTTATAACAATGATTGACAGGGACCAAGATGGAGGTGGCTCTCTCTATACTGACTGCCAGGTGTAAAGGGCGGAGCTTATAACAATGATTGACAGGGAGCTTAGAAGGAGGTGCCCAGTTACAGGATAAAGAAATGTTTGTTCCTACAGTTTATTTTATTTTTCAAATTTTACAAATATATATGTACTAAATATAAGAATAATTATATTAAATACTTTGAATAATTCTGCAAAGTATTGTACAGCTTCTATGTCATCATATGGCAAAAACAGAAACATATCTGATGAGCATCCAGATCTATTATGGTTGCCGTGGATACTCCATGCACTGCAGCGGCCACAGCCGCCAGAGATGTCCTCCCCCCTCCTAGTGTGAGTAGTGCTACAGCATTCCCGAGTGTGACGAATTGCACTTCACCACTGGGTTTTGGAGAGACCTGCTTGCCAGCCTCTTGCCCTGTGACTATGGCCCCTGGGGTGCATTGCCTTTTAAACACTCTGTTTGGGTAGATTGGATATTAAGGCACTGTTTCTGGCCCTTTAAATTCTATTGGAAATGATTTGCACTTTTGAAGTGGCACTTTGGATACGGAACAGAACTTAGTAATGGAAATAGACCGGCCGCACATCCTAATTCTCTGGAACTGGTTTGGGCATGAAAATGTGCGTGCGGTCGGTTGGTCAAATGTGACTTCCACAAAACCTTTGAACCCCTGCTCTGATCTGGGTGATTTTTGGATATGTTGTTCACTCAGATCAGGGCTATCCAGGGATGTATATTGTATGGGGATATGTTGGAGTTTTGGGGTGTTTCTGCACTTTGGGTAAAAATTGGTAATTTCTGCCTGTGGATAATTAAATTATTCCATTAGCTATCTTAATTACTGTATATACTCGAGTATAAGCCGACCCGAATATAAGCCGAGGCCCCTAATTTTACCCCAAAAAACTGGGAAAACTTATTGACTCGAGTAGAAGACTAGGGTGGGAAATGCAGCTACTGGTAAATTTCTAAATAAAATTAGATCCTAAAAAAATTATATTAATTGAATATTTATTTACAGTGTGTGTATATAATGAATGCAGTGTGTGTATGAATGCAGTGTGTATGAGTGCAGTGTGTGTGTATGAATGCAGTGTGTGTGTGTGAATGCAGTGTGTGTGTGTGAATGCAGTGTGTGTATGAGTGCAGTGTGTGTGTATGAGTGCAGTGTGTTTGTGTGTGTGTGTTGCAGAGCCTTGGTGGGGGGTGGGCATTTTTATTATTATTTTTTTTAAATTATTTTAATAATTTTTTAGTTTTATTAATATTTTGTTATTATTATTTTTTATTATTATTTTTAATATTTTATTATTATATTTATTTATTTTTCGTCCCCCCTCCCTGCTTGATACATGGCAGGGAGGGGGGCTCTCCTTCCCTGGTGGTCCAGTGGCATTGGCAGTTCAGTGGGGGGAGGAGGGGGGCTGGCAGAGCTGTTACTTACCTCTCCTGCAGCTCCTGTCAGCTCTCTCCTCCTCCGCGCCGGTCCGGTCAGCACCTCGGTCAGCTCCCAGTGTAAGTCTCGCGAGAGCCGCGGGGTCATAGTGCGGCTCTCGCGAGACTTACAGTGTGAGCTGACAGAAGAGCTGCATGGACCGGCGCGGAGGAGGAGGGAGCTGACAGGAGCTGCAGGAGAGGTAAGTTACAGCTCTGCCAGCCCCCAGTCTGTATTATGGCAATGTAAATTGCCATAATACAGACTGACTCGAGTATAAGCCGAGTTGGGGTTTTTCAGCACAAAAAATGTGCCGAAAAACTCGGCTTATACTCGAGTATATACGGTATATCAGAGGAAGAGGGGTGGGCTTGCTGAGTGTATGTGGGAGTGTTATAGTAATAATTATTGTTCCCATTGGTTTATGTTCCTTAAAAACTCTAAACTCTATAAAGGAAATGCAAGTTGCTCAATAATCTTTCTTTACCCTCAACCCACAGCCTTGTGTTGTAGGGAACAGCTATAACTGCTATATCACTGCTAGGTCTTGGAAGAGCTGTATTAGACCACGGTGGGAAGGAGATGGCTTGTTTTGTGTTGTTTTCAGTTTTTGGGGTAAAAATTGATATTTTCTGCCTGTGGATAATTGTTATTCCATTAGCTAGCTTATTTATATCACAGGCAGAGGGGAGGGCTTGCTGAATGTATGTGGGAGTGTTACTGTGTTAATTATTGTTCCTATTAGTTTGTGTCCCTGTGTTCCATCTGGTCCAGGTGGTGTGTCTCTGGCCTGAAAATGTATATAAAAGAAATGCCTTTGTGCTCATTAAACAGACCTTCTTACCCTATATCACAGCTAGCTTTTGTAAGAGCTCTCTTCAGCTATACAGCTATACTCTCCTGGAGGAGAGGTCCTTCCCACAGCTATACTCTACTGGAGGAGAGGTCCTTCCCACAGCTATACCCTCCTGGAGGAGAGGTCCTTCCCACACCGTCCTGGGTCCAGAGGCTGGACCAGGGTGGGAAGGAGACGGCGAGATCCCAACCAAGCTACGGCAGTTCGTGGAGTGTGCAGTGGCTATGGTGTCCGGTACGGTGCTGATTGTCCTTGATAAGTGCTAGGAACATCGACTGACTCACAACTGGTGGCAGCAGTGGGATGGTGTCCTAGTGTGAGGAGCAGCACCCTGGAGACACCAGTATTGTATGGAACTCTATTATCAGAGGAGACCCTGTCAGACTACAGAGCTGTCATAAGGATGCAGCTTCATGGAGTATGTACAGCATCGGGGGGGGAAGAATCTCCCCAGCCAGGAACAGCGACTACAGGTATGCATGGCCCTGCAGATAATTGGTGATGGATGAAGGGCTCTAAAGTGGTACACCAGCCAGCACAACCATTGGTGGACCGATGACCGTATGCTACCGGGAGAGAACTATGATGGCCCCGGCCTATTGTGTGGGAGGCCTTGGAGAAAAACATTAACTTTGGCAGCTCGGCAGACTTTTGGCTCTGGGAAATCCACAGCACTCGTGAAGCCTTGATGGGTCCTCTTAGAGCTAATGACCTAGTAACAGACCTGATCCATCTGGCCTCCCTGGAGTGGGAGCTTGAGCAATATGACCAACACCTGCTCAGCTCCAGTCAGTCCCAAAATGGAGAAAAAGGTGGCAGATCCAGCCTAGAGTCCTTCAGATTGGAGGACATCATAGACTGGTCCTGGGAAGACCCCCAGATGGTAGGTGGAGATGGGACCATGATCTCTCCACCGACCCTACAGGGATGCTGGGCAGCTGGCCCAGATCCTCAACTACAGCCAGACTTACTGGGAGAAGAGACAACCGACTCTCTCACCAGCGGTAGTATGTCTTACAGAGAGAGGAGACAGTCGGTCTCCCTCCCCAGCGGCTGAATGTGTTATTGGGAGAAGAGACAACAGGTCTCTCTCCCCAACAGCAACCAGATGTACCCGAGGTAGAGGACCTCATGGTCTGGTCCTGGGAGGACCCCCAAATGGCAGCCTGAGGTGGGACTCAGGTCTCTCTACTGGCCCTACAGGGATGCTGGGCAAATGGTCCAGATCCCCAGCTACAGTTGGAGTTCCAGGGAGAAGAGGCAGCCGGTGTCTCTCCCCAGCAGCAGGGCATCTCACAGGGAGAGGAGACAACCGATCTTTCTCATCAGCAGCAGATTGAGTTTGTTAGGAGTGGAGACGGTCGGTCCCACACCCCAGCGGCAGCAGGAGTATCAGGAGGAGGAGGTTAAGCGACCCCCCCTCACAGCCAACTCCTAACCAAGAACTGGGGTTAGAAGAGGAGGATGTTAACCTCCACTGACCCCGTCCCAGCAGAAACGCTGGCATCAGGGCAGAGCGCCGCTGGCCTCTGCCCCCACTTTCCCCTTGCTACTGGACAAGACTATGCTCTAATCCCCCCAGTTGAAGAACTGGAAGCTAAATACCTAAGCATAGTTTTTACTTCTCAGGTAAAGAACCTAAGCAAGGCCAACTGGGAGGTTTTGTTTAAACAGAACACAAGACAGCTCTATGAGTGGAAATCTCTGGAACTCTCATGGATCAGACGAATAAATGTTATAAAATCTTATGTGCTTCCAATATGGAATTATCTGTTAGGGGTGAACCCTATATGCTTATCCAAATTACATTTACTTAACCCCGTTACAGAGGGGAAACCCTTAGTGACGAGTGACGGACCTCGTCCATCATGTGGTAAAATTAACCCCGGATCGCCGCGATCGCGGGGTTAATGGTGCTCCGGTCTGCCTCTAATACTGCCTCTAATGACCGCAAGTCAGAGCGAGCACATGTGCTCTGTATACTTACCTACTGGCTCCCTGCACTTCCGGGTTCTGTGTGAAGTGCAGGGAGCCGGCACAATGCTCATCCTGCCCCCTGTAGGAAAAAAATAATAAAGTTAATTTAAAGTCCCACCCCCCTTTATTCATTTTAATAAAAAACTAAACCCCTTCCCTGCCAATTGATCACTGACTACAGTGATCAATTGGCAGGGATTACATTTTACAATGATCTGATTTTTTTTTTTTAACCCCTGAGGGTTAATTCTCAGGGGTTAAATTTATTTAATTAATTAATTAAAATATTTTTAAATTATATATTTAGCTAGCTGGGGTGGGTGGAAGTTAGTGGGGAATTGGGGGATTTCGCGTTAGGCTAACTAGGGGTTAACGTTAAAAAAAGTTTTAAAATAAACTTTAAAAAGGTAAAAATTAAGCTTAAAAAAAGTTTTAATAACGTTTAAGTAAAAAATAAAAAAAAAAAACCCTTTACCTAGTCCAAATAAAAAATTAACCCCTTCCCTGCCAGTCGATCACTGCTTATAGCGATCAAATACAGATCACAGTATTGTACTGTGATCTAATTTTTTTTAACCCCTGAAGATTAACTTTTATTTATTTTTTAACCCTCAGGGGTTCAATTTATTTAATTAATTAATT